AACACATCGATTGCTTTCTATGTTCCAGCAGCATTTTAGGTTATGGGGCACATGGCATTAGAAAGACATACAAGATCTCTGCATTTATTCCAGCAGTGGGAGACACACACACACACACACACACACACACACACACACACACAAAATACACTTTTATTTTTAGAGCAATTTTAGGTTTACAGCAAAATTGAGCGGAAAGTACAGAGAATTCCCACATATGCCCTCCACCCCCACAGCCTCCCCACCATCAGCATCCCACATCAGTGTGGTGAATTTGTTTTGACCGATGATGAACGTGCACTGAGACATCATCATCACCCAAGGTCCTTAGTTTACATTGCGGTTCACTCACTCACAGTGCTCTACATCCTGAAGGTTTTGACAAATGTGTGTGATGACATGTGAGAATTCCCACATATGCCCTCCACCCCCACAGCCTCCCCACCATCAGCATCCCACATCAGTGTGGTGAATTTGTTTTGACCGATGATGAACGTGCACTGAGACATCATCATCACCCAAGGTCCTTAGTTTACATTGCGGTTCACTCACTCACAGTGCTCTACATCCTGAAGGTTTTGACAAATGTGTGTGATGACATGTGTCCACCATTACAGTTTCATACAGAATAGTTTCCCTGCCTAAAATCCCAGTATTTTATTTTAAAATGTCTAAGAGATTGGTTTAGTAAAACGCTTTCAGATTATGGTTATCCATTTGTTGAGGAAAATTTTAATCTTTGCTGGGTTGATTTTATGTTTCATTTCCATCCACTCCAACTAACTGAATCTTAGTAGGAAATGCTTTGCTGAATAAATTTTTCATCCTTGATATTGATCAAAATGATCTCTAGCCTTTATAATATCAATGAAATTTTGTTGGAACTTTGGGGAAAAAGGACAATAATGAATACAAAATTGTATCATTTAAAAAAACTATTGGCTTGCATTTTAAAAAATTCAATTTATTGGGGAAACATTGGTTGATAACATTATGTAAATTTTAGGTATACAACTTTATGAATGACATCTGACTACACCATTGCATGCTCACCACCCGAAGTCTAGTCTCCTTCTGTACCATGGATTTGACCCCTTTACCCTTTGCGTCCTCCCCTTCCCCACCCTTCCTCTCTGGTAACCACTGTTGTGTTGTCTGTGTCTGTGAGTTCATTTTTTGGTGTGTATATTTATTTTGTTTGTTCATTTGTTGCTTTCTGTTTTACATCCCACATATGAGTGAAATCAGATGGTTCTTGTCCTTTTCTGTCTGATTTATTTCACTTAGTATAATACTCCTAAGACTCATTTGTGTTGCCACAAATGGCAATATTTCCTCCTCCTTATGGTCGAGTAATATTCCATTATATATACGTACCGCATCTTATTTATCCAATTATCCATCGAAGGGCACTTAGGTTGTTTCCATGTCTTGGCTATTGTGAATAATGCAGTAATAAATATGAGGGTACATATATCTTTATGAGTAAGCATCTTGCAATTTTTTGAGTAGATGTCCGGAAGACAGATTGCTGGATTATATAGAAGCTCTATTTTTATTTTTGTTGAGGAAACTCACTCCATAGTGTTTTCCATAGTGGCTGCACCAATTTACATCCTCACCAGCAGGGTATGAGGGTTCTTTTCTCTCCATATACTTGCCAGTACTTTCTATTTCTTGTCTTACTGATAACAACCATTCTAAGAGGTGTGAAGTGGTATCTCATTGTAGTTTTGATTTGCATTTCCTTTATAACTGAGCATTTTTTGTATATCTGTTGGCCATCTGTATGTCTTTCTTTGGAAAAGTGTCTATTCAGGTCCTCTGCCACAGGAATGTATCTTAAAAGTAAAAATACATCCATATGTAAGAATCAGTGACATGAACAGAAATTTTGACCCATTGAAAGAAAAAATTTCTTAATTTAAGAAATTTTTCTTGAAGTCTTACAAGGTATCAGACACACGTACTGCAAATAGAAAGGTGAATGAATCTCTGTTCATGGTGTGGCCGGGCAGACAGATGTTTAAGCAAGTAATCAAAAGGAGCAATTAACTCTGGCAGAAGAGCTGTGACCATTTTCCAGAAAATCAACATGAATCTAGTCTCTGCCAGTTTCTGCATTTGAGATCAACACCCCTTGGAAAGCACACGAGACTGCAGTAGAGGTGCTGGTCATCAACAAGTAGATACCTCTTCCATGCCTAAAGATCATAGAAGAATAGATTCTATCTGTCAACAGGAAGCTTTGCAGAGTTTAAAGGGGGCTCTGAAATAAGTTATTAAATTAGCATAGCAATTCACTTAAGATGAAAGCTCACTTCCTGGGTCTTTTTTGGCTCCTGAAGCCTCCAGGCTTATAGGGAGGG